AACGTATTTAAGGCTTAAAGCTCCTGAGTCCTAAAGCAATGACGGCTACATCACGAGAAATCAGAGAGGCATTGGTCAGAAGTTTAAATCCCTTTACTGGTCTGTGGTTTTTATGAAACAGATTTTAGAATTTAACATTAAACATTTGATTTCCTGCCTTTCTGCTCTGACTAACGTAACAGAGAGCAGTTTCTGTAGAACAGGTTTCACTATTTTAAAAACAGAGTACAGAGGAAACTGTTTAACATCTTTCACAGTTTTTCTTTTCATTTAATGCAATAAAGTTTACTGATTGTGAACTTCATGCTAAAAATAAGAACACTGTTTTAGAAATATAACAAACCACCAAAACGTCTCATCATGTCCTTGACAACAGTTTGCTTTTTTAAAAGCTTCTTACATCTCTGTGCTTCCTCCGATTCTTCGTCATATTTTAAACATGGAGGTCTAAGGAGCTCATTTCACCTGAAAATTAATGTGAATTAAAAGAAGTTCAGCTTCCAAACTATAAATTGGAAATACAATTGTTTGTATTTGTGTGACAGGAAGGCATTGGGGAATATTTTTGAGGGTGGAATCACTATTTTACATGTCACCATGTCTGATTTGTAGGTGATTAAACAAAGAAAAAAACCGAAAAAAATGTGCGTCGCTAAAATTCTTTCAAAATAAACACTGCAAAACCCCATGAAAGCCCGCCTTCATACTTTATAGATCCACTTCTTGACTAGAACTCAAACAAATTAGGACTAATAAGTTGCACCGCAAAAAAATTAAATCTAAATAAGTCATTTTTTCTTGAATTAAGTATTTAAGTGAGACACTTTGCCAATGGAGCAAGACAATTTACACTTAAAATAAGAAAAAACAATTGCATTGTCTTATTTCAAGTGCATAATATCTAGATACCTTATTTTAAGAGTAAAAATACTCCTTCCATTAGCAAATCATCTTATTTACCTGCTCAAATTAAGGGTAAATACTCTTAATTTAAGACATTTTTACTCATTTTGAGGTCGTTTTTGCAGTGTGAAGCGTGTTTGTTCCACAAAGGTTTCAGTGGGAAGTGTGCTTGGAGGAAATGGGATTTTAGCACAGTGCTGAAAAGTGTACAAATTATGCATTTTTGCATAATTTGGCCACTTTTCAGCACTTTCAGCACTGTGCTAAACTCCTCTGTAAAACTCCATGCATTAATTATAATAAAGCTATTTATATGTATAAATCATGCGACGGCGATAGCCGTACTGCTCCACTTGTGAAAGTAAAACCTGTTGGGCTCTTTTTGGCATCAAGACAATTATTGCTATTGCCACATCGCCAAAAAGGACACTGTTAAAAAAAGAAAGAAAAGAAGGAAATGTGATTTTGGTAAAATACCAAAAGTGCAAAAATGCATTATTTCCACTCATTAAAGGGAATCTGCTCAGACAAATATGCTGATTTCCATTATTGGAGACCGTCTGCATGAGGCAAAGCCTTTGCTCCTCAGATTTAGTCGTTTCATTTAAATTTACCAATAAAATCACCAAACTGGATAGAAAATAAGAATAACAGAGCAGCTTATGGAACGCATGAAGGTTACATCACCTGACATGGTCGCTCAATGACCTCTGACCCCTCCTTGGAAAGGTCTGAGCCTCTAGTTTCCAATGATGGCGGCCATTAGGGGGCGGGGCTAAGAGTCACACATGTGAGGTGGAATTTTAAATCTCATTTTATTTGTTTGAGCAGCTATAAAGCAAACAGTACCGCGTCCAGCAGGCTGAAAGGGGTTAACATTCAGGCTCTAAACTTAGACTGATCGTCTCCATCAATCATTCAGCTCATCACAGTGAGGGGGGGGGGGTCCGCTATCCTCAGGGGGGGCTGTAGCCTGATGATGTCATTAAACATCGGTTTGATCCACAGGTCTGATGTACCAGAGGATGATCACAGCAGAACAGAAGCTAAAAAATGAGCACTATCCCGTCCAGGAGAGGTGAGAAACCGTTTGAAACGCAGCTCTGCTGCTCTGAGGAAAGCGAACGTCTGCATCGTGTTTGGTTTAAACCTCTGATCCGTCTGCAGGGTTTTCATTCTGGCCGATCCAGAAGTCTTCTCCGGCTCCCTGATCCCCGCCGTGGTGGAGGACTTTGAGGCGTCTACTTCGGCGGGATTTCAGAGCCCGTTAGACCACATGCGCAGCGTGGTTCAACACACCCTACAGGCGGCTTTAGGGCCGCAGCGATGCCACGGTCCCAAGCTGGCTCAGGCCCTCAGGGTCAGTCACCTGGTTGCTGAAAGGTTCTTAAAAGAGAAAAAATTCAAATCTAGATAAGGCATTGTTTCTTAAAATAGGTGCAATAGGAGAGATTTGCCAATGGAACAAGACAATTTACATTTAAAACAAGTAAACACAAATGAATTGTCTTATTTCAAGTGCATATTATCGAATGATCTTATATTAAGAGTAAAAATCCTCATTCTATTGGCAAACACCTCATTTACCTATTCAAATCAAGGGTAAATATACTTAATTTAGGATATTTTTATTAATTTCTAGGTTGTTTTTCCAGTGTAGAAACTCCTCCTCTCTGCTTATTTGATGCCTTTCTGTTGTTTTTTGTGCAGGACATGGGTCAAGATGTGGAGCCGTACTTTCAGTACGTGTTGGAGATTCTGGAGCACAGCGTGGAGGAGGGCTACAGAGGTGAAGGGGGAACGCTGAGCAGCCGACTCCTGCAGCTCTACGGCGAGATCGTCTCTGATTCTGACGCAGGTATGCAGCGCCGCAGTGGAGTCTGAGTCATCAATCATCTGGTTGGTGTGGTTAGGCGACTATGGCTGCCAAAGAAAACACCCTGTGGCTGGTTATGTTACTGGAATACAGATAGAAGCTGGCTGCGGTTAGCCGGGCATGAAAGTTAAAAACAGAAAATGATGTGGTTTGTGACGTATGCAATATTAGCTATGATATAACTGTTTATTATTGTGTTTGGTCACTTTCCAGTTCACCAGATCATCCAGTCAGATTGACTGAAAGTTTTCTATCTAAGGGAAACCAGCTGATTGCATCGACTCATTGACCCTTCAGCAATCCCTCACACTAAGCATGCTTGCAGT